ATACCACCAATATAGTACCAATTCTTGTTGCACAGATTCATTGTATGGTATTCCCTGCAACTCACCTTAATTTCTGTTAGCAGGTATGTTGCCATGCCATGTCACCCTAAAAGTAACCCAACATCATATGGGTCCATGTCATTGGTTCGACAGCCCATTGGTTCGACATCCCATTAGTCCGACTGTCTGCGGTGCTGAATGGCTCGCAGCGGGCGTATGGTGCGCCGCAACCGGCTTGAGGCGAAGCAGGCTCACGGCTTATGTGTTTGTCACTTTCTTTTTCATTTTAACCCACACCATGATCTTTTCCTGACCCTAACCAAGTGGTTTTTGTGCCTAAACCTAACCAGACCTTAACCACAGGGCATCATGATGATTTCGGAACGGACTTCGGAACAATGAGTTTAATATGGTCGGAACAATGGGATGTCGAACCAATGGGCAGTTCCCCATCATATATGTTCTCAAGTCACATTTGCAAGCTAATATGAGCTCAATTTCCATGGTGGCAAAATATTAACAATTAATCTAAAAATCAGGATGTGCATGTCAGGGTGTGGACTCAGGGGATGTAGAGGGATGGGAGGTTAACAAGGGGTACGCATTTTCATCATTTTGCCAACAAGGGGGATGGTGCTGCTCAAGGGGTAACACCTCTTTCTAACATACAGCAAACCAGTGAACTCTAACAGATGGAGTGCAAAAAAGTGTCCAGATTTAAACTGCCAGTGACAACAGCATTCAGAGAGCCTATCAAATCCTGAGCAGGCCTAAGCAATGGCTTGCTGTTGCTCTGAAAATAGGCTGTAAATGTGTGAAGCTTCACCAAATAGAGCCGGGGCAAGTGTTTTTCAAACAAGCGACCCATCGCTTAACCTGTTTGCTGACTCATGGAGCAGGTTTGAAACAACACTAATGACTAAAAACCCAAAAGGAACAGAGCCTTTTCCAACAGTACACCATGTGGTTCACTTTATACATTTAGATAAGGATGGTAGTTTTTGAAAAATGATGGAATATAGTTATTTAATCAATATTCATGTTTTTTTTTTTCAAAATGGTGGACTGAATGCCACGGCTCAACACAAGAGACGAGTCCATGAGAGTCGAGGGACTAGCTTCTTTAGAAGAGAGCATTGGTGAATTTTATGGATATGTACAAAACCAAGTTAAACCAATGTATACCTGTACTGCTGCACTTGTAGTAAGTTATGTGGGTGTGTGGTTTTTTATTTTATTTCTGGGGCTCACAAAGTAATTGTTGTTTTACGATGTTAAAGTGGGTCGAGACCAAAACAGATAAAAGAGAGTTGAACTAATTTGTCAGGGACAGACAACCCAATGGCTGGAAAAAATGTTGGCATTGTACATCCCTGCAAATCACAGATACGTAACATTTATACATTAAATGTAGCGGATACATTTTAAACTTTACAAAATAAAAATGCTGTGGTGAACCTGTTGTTAGGATCTGGGACAAAAATCATTTGGTCATGGTAAGGAAAAATTCACATTTAGCTTAAAGTAGCTAGTTTTGGTGGCTAAAAAAGCTGCTGGAAATGTTGTGATAAGAATCAACTGCTCTTCATGGCACCATCCTCAGTAGAAACAACCTAGTATGGTCTCAAAAAAGTAGTCTGCAGTAGTCTGAAGCGTGGCAGGTGTCTCACCTGTGTCAAAGACAGCTCATATAGTACTTTATCACTTCAGAAACATTGATATGATACGTATGAAACATACAAATCTAACATGTCCCTGGGTTACAGAAATGTACATACCAACATTTTCTTCTGTTGACCTGGCTGGGACAGAAACACAACTCCAAGTCAATGCTAAAGTGTACTGGATGTGTAAATTGGGTACTATCTGTATTTTTTAGCCATATCAGTGTTGCAAGTTGATGATATGTCACTATTCTGTCCTCACTTTGTTTAGCTGGATCCCAAGGGGCCAAGAAAAGTAAGTAGTGATGAGTGTAGTTTCTCCTAAATCTTACTAAACATATCAGCTCACATGTGGCTAGCAGCTTAACTTCAAGTCTGTTCCTAAGTTGCACTGTACACCAAGTCTCTCGAGATCATATTCTCCTTCTGTAAAAAGACAGCAGTTACATAACTAACAACATGTTTTACCACCTGCTTCAAAGATATTCACCTAAAAAAACTGTTCTTCATTTCAGAATTTTTAGTTCATTTTACCTCAGGAAGCTTTGGAAATTCTCACACAAGTCCAGTTTTGATTAGACAGGATAAATACTGTGTGTGGCCTCAGTTAGGGGTCATGGAGTTGAGTATAAACTCTTGCCTGTAATGCAACATTGAGATAGATAATAACTTTTACTTTAATTCATCAATAAGGCACATGTAGCTGAAGTAGAGTACATATCGGCCCAGGTCACATTTGGCAGGATAGAAAGAGTGAGACAGATAACAGTATCAGAAGAGGTCGGTGACATTTTGCTGTGGAGGAGAAGCAGCAGCATCAGTAGCACTTATTGACTGCTTTTGATATATGAACAGCCCAGGGAATTTGTTCTCCGGCCGTCCCTCGAGGAGGAAAGTCACTGACACGTTAGCAATGATCGCATCCTCCTAGATGACCTGGCAAAGAGAGGACGACCTGCAGCACACAGGGAGAGAGAGACAGATCCATCTGAAAATCTGTCAAACACGTGCACACATTGCTAAGCTGGCCCACCACAGTCCATCGCCACCCGTTCTATTAATTATAATGTGTCTAATGGGCTCTAAAGCTACTGCTGAGCTCCAGCAATCAATAGGAAGCTATATTATTGAGTGAGGCAGCAATTTCTAAAGATCGCTGTTAAAGGATTATCTCTAAATTGTGTTGCCTTATTGGTGAGTTTTGATTTTTACATTTTGCAATGCATATTTGGTGCCTGTTTAAAAGGCAAATATTAGGTATTAGCCTTCTTTCACAGAAAACTGTGTAAATATGTCCTCCAGACAAAAGAAAATATCTGTGATATTGAAATGTACTCTGTGCAATATAAACATAAATTAAAATGGCAGTGGGATTTACATCCTCCCTGTCACTCTTTGCCACCATAAATGTATATCACAAACTCAATACCATTTTAAATATGGTGCTCAAGTCTTTGAGATGACAGCTGCTCACGAGATGCAAATGCCAAACCTCTTATGTAAACCTCTTCTGGAGGTAGAATAATAGCATTTAGTTGTAAGGTATAAAGACCTGTCTACTGAATGTCAATTTTAGCATCCTCACAAAGTTAAATTCTGACGTCATTAGACATTTGAAATAACTTCAACCCAATATTCATTCCAACCAAATTTTAACGTCTGGCCTATGTGAAAGTCCAACATCTTTGTGGCATCATTTGAAGTCAGGTGCCAGATGAGATGTGTCATTTTGCTGTTACTGATGCTTTGTACATCATCATCTTTACACATCATTGTGTGAACCACATGGTCCTGCAATACTGATTGCGGCCACTGCATCAAAACTGCCTCACAGTTCCTTCCAGCTTGATTCACCAGCCTGGTCTCACTCCGAAGTCATCGAATACCATTGCTTGAGCAGTGACTTCTGGCATCAGATGCCAGTGAAAAAAGCTGTCCTTTCACGTTGGCATGATGCACAGCTGATCCAAATGGGGCAGGCGGGAAGGGTGATGAATGGGTCCAACAACCACCAACTTTCACCAGGTAGGCCAGTGTTCGCTGCCTGCAAGATTGTAAAGTCAAACCCTGTTCTTTATTCCTAAACCCAACCACGTGCGTGTGTTGCCTAAATGGCAAACGGACTGCCAACATTTTGATAACAATCACCATGCACACGGATCCGCAAAAATGACCAAAAACGCTGCAGTATACATGCCAGGCCATTAGTTGGTGGTGTGACACTTAAGCTTCCTTCTACAGAGAGGCGATGTATAAACAAGCAAAATGGCAACCGCACGAACGTTTGTCTGGACGACGAGGTGGAGTTGCTACAGTAAATCTACACTATGATGGGAAGCGTTGATAAATTCAATAGGGTGAGCAGCACAAGCAGAGCTCGGGAGTCCACAATTGTTGTTGTGATGGCTTTCTCGCACATGCCTAGTGACTGGAAGCGTAATGCGCATGCGAGAAAAGTCTCTGTTTTCAGAGAAACTGATATTGCAAGTTTACATGACAACGGAGATGATGAAGTTTCCAAAAAAATGCACTATGGAACCCGTTTTCAAAACGTTGCATTTTCAGGCACCCAAAACGCCGCTGTCGTGTAAACGATTGGCCAAAACAAAACTAAAGTTTACCGTTTCCAGTTGAAATCATTGTCGTATAAACGGGACCTCAGTAACCATTCACACACACACACACACACACACACACACACACACACACACCGATGGAACAGCCATCAGGAGCAATTTGGGGTTCAGTATCATGCCCAAGGATACTTCGACATGCAGACAGGAGGAGGCGGGGATCAAATCGCCAATATTCCGAGTGGAGAATGACCTCTCTGTTAGTTGTGTCAGTCTACTGTCAACACAATTGCCAGAATAAGTGTTGCACATTTCTGCCAACAATGGATAGATGACATTTGTACATTATTATGTAGCAGATATGTTGAAACTTTACATTTCAACAGGGCTGTGGGTAACATGTGATTAGGTTCAGGCACAGAAACTATTTGGTTATGGTTAGGAATAGATCATGTTTTGGCTTAGAATACCTGGTTTTGTGGTACAGTCCTGCCAGAAATACAACAATGTCTTGGATTGTGGTTTGATTGTGATGTCTCTGTAAAAAAACAATCACTTTCCATTTCCATGGCACTACCCCCAGTGGAAACACAGCGATGTCCTGGTAAAAAACACATACTTAGATATTAGCTTGACCACATGAAGTTATCTGAGCCCCCCCGCCCCCCCTTTCTTCCATTTCACTCAACAGGCAGCAGACTGCATTCAATCAGCCATCAGCGCTGATTGCAGGGCGGTGCCACCCACCTTTATATCTAGGCAAGGCAATACTGCTCTGGTTCCTCTTCCTAACCTCCAGAGTCTGGCGTCTGTGCAGTCTGGTGTGGCTGGTGTGCCTCTCGAGGCTTTTTGGTGTGTTAGTCCTGCTGTAAGCATAAGGTAGGCTCTCATAATATTCCTGGTGCCGCACATTTACTGCGTGCGTAATTGGTGTTATACCTGCCAGTTTCCTCGCTCTGCAGTGTGGCTGTCTCTCCCTCCCTTGGCGTCTTGAGTGCAGACTGGAGTTACGGTCTCCTGCTTCAAGTTTGTTACGCCACTCGGTGTTGAGGTAGGCTGGCTTGAATTAGTTAAGTTGTGGCCTGTCTCTGCTTGGTCTTCACCTGAATAAATTGTCTTTTTCTGTGGTTTCTGGTCAGCAGTTGGTAGAGTGCGCAACGGCCGTGCGTCCTCCCCTCCTCTCCGCTCCACTGTTGGAAACCGCCCTCTGCCCAGTGGTATGTATATTTGAGTTCATATTACTATTGATTTTAGCATAATTTCAAATGAGTAATGTTCGTTTTTTTATGGAATTTACATTGCAGGCCCTTAAAGGCCAGGCTGTGCACCACGGTGTAGTGCCTCCTGTTTTTTTACAAGCCATCAGCCTCCACCTCCTGGCGCTTGCTGCTGTTCTGACTTTTGGATTTCGTTGAGTGCAGAGTGTCTATTCCGAGTCATTTATGACTGAATGGTTGTGATTGCACCAGCCTTTTCAGAACTTCCCGTTTACAATATTACCTGGTGTCTTTTATTTTTTTATTCTCTCATTGACAAGTGGACTACATTTGGTAGCCACGTTCTAGTGGTTTCATTTATACCCTGTGCTGTTTTGTTTATTTGATTTAATTTACAGTAAGCAGTATTATGTCTTCTTTTGATTCTTTATTCCTTTCTCCCGTTTTGTTTTGAGGTTTATTTGTTTTCTGGGGGGTTGGTCGACTTATAAGCTACTCATATGCATGTCTTCCAACTCTTGGGTAATTTATATTAGACTCTTTGTTTATTGATTCAATTAGACGATTGTTATTAGCCTACTTTCTTTCGTAATTTTGGTTATCATTGTTTAGTTTCTGGGGTATATTGTTTGGGTAAATTGGGGTGTGTGTCTTGTGTGAGTGTTTTATGGAGTATGTGTGAGACTGTTGAACTAACTGTGTTTCTCTGTTGCTAGGAGCAGCGGGGTGCAAGCCGGTGGCAGGCGGACCTCTTGGTGGTGGTGTCCTCCCTCACTCACCCCTTTTTGCCGTGCTTTGGTTTTGTTTGGTTTATTTTGTCTTCACGTGTGGTGTGTTGTGTTGTTCTTTTTTTTGGACCCGTCCCCGCTCTTATGTTGGTCTGTCCTCCGCAGTAAGCCCCCAGCCTCGCTCCTTAGGCTCTCCCCCACACACAGTAAATTTCTGATCATTGCTCTTTTAGTATTGGGAACTTGTCATTAGTATTGTTAAAAATAAAGTTTTGTATCTTTGTGGATTCTCGTCTTTGCCAGTGTTTAGTTGAGCCTGAGTGCCTTATTCTTGTGTCCCTTGGAGGGGTTAAGTTCAATAATTTCCGGGGGGTGAAACTCCCCCAGGTGGCGTTGTCGACAATCTCCTCTATCACTTCACCTAAGTTTCGCCACATTAAGAATCATGTCTGCTGTTAATTGTTGCCAGGGAAACACAGAATGGAACAATGTATCAAAAGATTGTCCTCATATTGTCAGCCAGTCTTAGTCTCTCTGGCCTTGGTCACACTGTGTGCTGGGCATGAGTGATTCATACAGTTTGTGCATGGGCAGAGTTTCTGTTTTGACTTACCCTTGCTGGGTCAACTCACTTGCTCTGAAAGGCTGTTTACTGTATTTACTTTCCAAAGACAGCTTTTTGCAAGTGTTTCTCAGTACATGGAGCATGCATGAGCTTGGCTTTAGACAGCTCCATCTGTGATCACTGCTGTTTTAGCTCAGAGATAGAAAAGACAAAAAAACAATGTTCAGAATTTTTTTAATAGCATTTTTGTTTGGGATTTATGTGCATTGCAGGGTTTTGTGTCAGGTAAGAGGCAATTTCCTTGGTCACAGGGCCTCAAAAAGCTTTTCTCTCACCTTTGTCCATTTGCTGTTTTGTGGACTCACCATGAACCTGACTTTTTCATTCAAAGCCCCACCGTTAGTTCCCGTTCTTGGTGTCAAGGATGACAAAGATTTATATTGCCGTTACCCACTTGCTTTCAGCAAGTCCAAAAAGAAAGGAACAAGCTATTTTCCTCGCCATACCAAGTTATACAAACACTACATGATCCTATTTAAAAAGTTCTACCATCACCTTGAATTAAAATACTGTGATCCCTAAGAAATTCCTAACAGGCAGGCACTCTCTCTTTCCTGCTTTCATGTTTTCTGTCTTATGCACCTGTACAGTCATTCTTTTCTGGGTCTGGGTGTTGGTGGCATGAGGCTAAGGAGGCTACTTTTCTCCAGCCATGTCCTCCAGCTCCTCCTGGGGAATCCCAAGGTGTTGTCAGACCAGATGGCACATAATCCCTCATGGGGTCTCCTCACATTTGATTGTGCCCAGAAAACTTCAACCTCAACTGGCCCCTTTCAATACAAAGCAGGAGCACATCTATCCCAAACCTCCTTCCAAATGTTCCTGTCCCTGATGTGATCTTATTGTTAGGATCATTACCCAAAGCTCATGACCATAGTGTTGGAATGTAGACCAGATGCAAAACTGAGGTTTTCACCTTCAGGCTTGGCTCCCTCTTCTGCAACACAGTCCACTACGTTGCCTGCACCATTGTGATGTTGCAGTAATCTGTCTGTCCCTCTCCACGTACATCGTTCTGGCACACATGAGCAAGACCCAGAGATATTACTCCCTGCAATATTCCCAAAGTTTGAAGGTTGAGTTGGTATAATATATTTAAAGTTTTTAATCTTGGAGTAAAGCTTGACAGTGATTTTAAATTGGACCAACAGATTAACTCTGTTGTAAAAAACAGTTTTTATCATCTAAGGATTTTATCCAAGATTAAATCTGTTCTATCTTTTAGTGATTTCGAGTGAGTGATTCATGCTTTTATTTCCACACGTTTGGACTACTGCAATGCACTTTATCTTGGCGTAAACCAGGCTTCCCTGGCACGCTTGCAGCTGGTCCAAAATGCTGCTGCTCGCCTTTTAACAGGCAGCAGAAAACATGAACACATCACCCCCATCCTTGCTTCTCTTCACTGGCTTCCAGTCCATTTTAGAATAAATTTTAAAATTTTATTGTTTGTTTTTAAAGCACTAAACAGATTAGCTCCACATTATATTTCAGACCTCTTAATTGCTTACACTCCCTCACGATCTTTGAGGTCAGCTGAGATCAGCTCCTCCTCGTTGTCCCTAAGAGTAGATTAAAAACACGAGGTGATCGAGCTTTTTCTGTGGCGGCCCCTAAACTATGGAACGAGCTACCACTAGAAATAAAGATGTCCCCCACCCTTCTTACTTTTAAATCAGGTCTTAAAACTTACTTTTACTCTTTGACTTTTAATTCAGCGTGAGAGTTGTGTGATGTCTGATCTCTGTTCTGTTTGTCTTTCTGTTCTGTATTTTTAATCTGTTTTATGACTTTTTCTTATTTTTCTTTTTAAATCTATTTCTTCTCTTAATTATTTTTAAATTATTTTTATCATTATTAATCTTTATTTTAATCCTCATTACGCTTTTCTGTATTGTACATCACTGTGCAGCACTTTGATAAACTTATGTTTTTAAAATGTGCTATATAAATAAAGTGGATTGGATTGGATAAAACAGTCATTAATATTAGGTAGTGAAATCAAGGAATTATAGGTAGGCTATTGCAAGTCTTGGTGGTTGTGGACCAGGTCCCCATGAAAGTGTGCCAGACTTTAAAGACAATTGGACATAGTGGCCAAATAGTGTAACTACAACTCCCTTGTTTATCACAAGATTCGCATAGACTCACACCGTGAAAGAAATGTCTAGAAATCTGTAGATACATTTTTTGAGCATCACAACCATTGTAAAATGACTCTTTTAGTCTGTTAGTATTTGATCCATTCAATCTGATTATATTTCTAAAGAGCCACACAATTCAATAATTTCCTCCTCATTCAAGTTAGCAGAAGACTACACTGGAGTTAGGCGTTCAAGTGGCAAAGTATGTAATGTGCTTGTGTTATGGGCCCAACGATGCAGACGATCTGGGAAATCTTAAACCCACAAGAGCACGTTTTTGGATTCATGCACCACTGAGAAACTTTTATTGGGATGAACAGGGCCCTGCCTCCAACACTATATCCAATTCTCTTTATACATTTTTGTTGTGGATGGGATAACATCAACTAACTTGGGAAGCACATAGAATCTTAGCTGCCTTCAGTTCCTCCCAGCTGTTGGCTAGCTAACATTAACATGGTGCTGTCTTTCCAGACAGAGCACTGTCAGGAGATGACCATTCTACTTGATTGTACTTTATAATTAATGCAGATGTGGAACAAACCTGCTGCTGCCCCAAACATGACCAGTTCCAGAAGATTCATTTAGAGATGAGACATGGCGCAGAGGTCATTTTAGCTCGCTGACATGCAATCAATTCCATGAGGACACTAGCTAGCTTGCCATAACCATAACACGGCTGATGTTTAGCTAGCCACAGTCAATTTTTGTCGTTAATGAGAGCTACATGGTTAGCCTTTAAACTACAGATTATAATAAAAACAACACCTATGCTCTCAAGCTGTTACCTCCTTCGCTAATGTACACAAATTGTACAAAAGTTTATTTTGAGAATTTACCACCTAAAATCTTCCTACCCAGGACATATGTGGTACTTGACCATGTTTGTCATGCATGTCTGTGTGTGTATGTGTGTGTGTGTGTGTCCACTTCCCCCTTCTGAAGCCAAAATATCCCAAATACAGTTGCTGCAAGCTTGGGCTGGTGACATCATTTGGAACCAGAGCAGAAGCAATCTCCACAATATCAAGTTCCCATCCATAGACCGGTCCAATCAATTGTGAGTACAACAATTGATCATGAGCACAATAGCATCAGATAGCTAGTTATAACCAAACTTATCAGAAAAAGAAAACATCAGCATGAAAAATTTATTTCACGTGTACTTTGAGTTTTTAGCTTGGCCCATGTCCCATTCGCTAACATGGGGGGGTGAGGTTTATGACCCATACTGTAGCCAGTTAAGATGTTTTGGCTTCACTCTTGGGGAACTGTCATGTTGTCTATGTTTATATACAGTCCATATTTGGAAAGTGGGACACTTAAACAGCATCAACACAGAAAGCAAAAAGCAAAATAATCCAACTTGAAATGTAAACTTCTGTTAGAATGTCATGTCGGGCACACACACACTTGCTTATGTAAGTCTAAGTGTTATATCACTGTATCTTTTAGTGCGAGGATGAATTAGGGCACGCTTCCCCCTCTTGTGTGCTGCATATCCACTTCTTGAGTGGTTAATGAAGGGCCACACTCAGTCGCCCGCCCTCAATCCTCAACAAGGGCCCTTCAGCATTTACTTGAGCACAGCAGTGGTGGGAATAGTTTTCAAAGACTTGATCCAAGGTGGATGATCCCGCTCAAGAGGAGTGACTTCCTCTTTACTCCAGATTGTGATGGCATGCTGTGCTTTTCCCACAACTTTTGGGAGCAAAAGTTTGTATTTGAATTCCATCTGGATGTATAAAACAGCTGGCTTGGAGTAAGCTCTGCCCCCAAACAGAGGCATAAGCTCACACTGCTGGCCAAGAACAGCAGCAGGAGACATGATGTGATGCTGTCGACTGATTTACTAAGAGCTGGCATCTTTCCTGCCAAGCTCAACTGCAGTTTATCTGCATCTTATACTTTTTTGGTGGAATTTACACCAGTGACATTAATCTTTGAAATGTTGAGCAAACGGCATGTAGTCATCGTAGTTTGGGTTTGAATTATTGCTTTGTTGAAGTAAGGTGACCTTTGTCGTCATGGTTATTGCTTTTTTTCTTTTTTTACCATTTTCAAACTCTGCATCCTTTTTTTTTAGTCTCTCTTTAACTCTTGGTCTAGAAACCACATCATCTAAAGAAAAGTGTTATAGCTGCTTTCTGTGTGTCTGTGGGGGAGGGGGGCAGAATAAGAGGCAGAGATGATAAGAGGTCAGTCACTATTAAGCTAGCTTAGCTCGTGTATATGCAAATACAATTCTAAGCAGTGTGGCTGTGGGCTGTGTTCATATTAATCCTCTTCTTTCAAACTGCCAGCAGCTTTTTTACACCAAAGTTAATGTGAAAAAGTGAAAAAACGAAAGTGTGTGATTTGGAGGGAGTTGCGCCCCTGGCATGCTTTAGGTGGAGCAAAGTGCTTTGTGAAGAGAGGAAAAGTTTACCCTCTTATGCAGAGCACTGCTGATATTCATTTTTGGTGCCAGGCCTGAACTTCTAGAGCACTATGTGTTAAAATGGAGATATTTGGCATA